CCGGATGCCGGTGACGTCACAGTTAAACATCCTCCGTAAGTGCTACGCTTACTGAAAATATAAAATCAAATGAATCATTTTGCTCCTTTACGAAAAATAAAATAAACTTTAAATATATTCATCCAGTAAAAACCATCAACAGAAAACCTGTTCCAGCTCCTGCCTCTGAGCAAGATTTATCTTTCTCAAGATGTGCCAATTAAACGAGTCTCACCTGCTAAACTTCAGATGATTAAGGATCATGTAGATGAAATGCTGGAGAAAGACATCATTGAACCATCCACATACGCCGCTCCTGTTGTCCTGGTGCCTAAAAAAAATGACCCCAAACTGCGTTTTTGTGTCGACTTCAGAAAACTAAATGCAGTCACACATACAGATGCATATCCATTGCCAAACATTCAGGAAATCCTGGAGTCTCTTTGTGGAGCAGTGATTTTCACTACACTAGACCTGAACAGTGGTTACTGGCAAGTCCGAATGGATCCAGAAAGCTGTGAAAAAACTGCATTTGTCTGCACATATGCTGAATTGGCAGCGTCAGAAAGACAGCTGGAAAGAAAGTTGACCTGAAACTATTTTGTGTTTGTTTTTAAGAGTGTCGGTTGGACCTGCATCGACAGCTTTCTCCTTTAGCTACATCCCTCAGTAAGCAGGTGCAACTGGACGCTCCTTTGGTTTTAAAAAATCCGACCAGAACCCTAGAGCTGCTGTTCCTCTCTGTCTCTTTGCTGCTGGCCCGTCTCTGTGGTCATTGCATGTCTTATCTGATCTCACATTGCAGGCGCTGCAACTCTTTGTTCAGCCTCTCTCATCCTGGCAGGTTTCAGACGTCAAAACAACCAGAACTACAAAGATAAGGAGTCGCTGAGCCGATGATATGGAGCCTGCTGCGGACCGTCCAACAGAGGGTTTCCATTTAGCATTAAATGAGACATTGGGGGGTCAAGGGGATGTTGACCAGAGAGCCAGAGGGAGGGAGAGGCGGCTGAAGGAGGATTAAGTCTGGAGGAAAGTTCAGGCTCTTTCAGTGAGCAGGCTGCCATCGCTCTGCCCGCGCAGTGATCACGTGCTTCCATGATTAGGCTCATAATGTGAGCGTGGTGTTCATCTCCAGGCTGCAGATCTGGGCCTGTTCTGATTAATGATCACATCGATTGAATCACTGCAGCGTTTCATGATTGTTCCGTCCCTCAGGATCCTAGGTCTGCTCTTGGAAATGCTTTCGGATGCTTCTCTGGGCTGCAGGCCGTCCTGTTCCCGTCTTCCTCTACTGTTTACTAAACCCTGGTCACACAACCTGGATTTAAATTCCAACCTGAGGGCCTTTCAATGTCAAATTTGTCCATTTTCTCCCAGACAGTAGTTTTCCTGGTTTGCTTGTAGTAATCAAAGCCAGTCAATCATAGTTTGTTTTTGAAGACGCTCTGAAGCATTTAGCTCTCCCCTCTGCAGGGTGGAGCTGAGCCCACTTGGTAAACAACTGAATTTTAATAACCTAATAATAATTTTAATAATTTTGAGTTCTCCATAGGCTGCATTAGTCCCAACATCATCTGCTGTGGGTGGACGTCACACTGTGTGAGAGGGGATCCACAGTGGAACATGTGACGCTCTGGTGCTCCTCTCCAAAATTGTAGGTGACTGCAGACAGTGCCACAGACAGGAGGCCTCTGATTGGTCAAATCTACATCTGCTCTGAGTATTTCCTGTTTGGTTCCTCACCGGCTTGTTTTGTTTGTCAGACCGCCATTGCGGAAAATGACTCCTGAAGATGGACCAGCTAGAAGATCGACGTGCACGAGAACGCTGGGACCCTTTTTCCACCTGGATCTCCGCTCTTTTTGGACCTCAGTCATGTCCCTCCGTTGTCGCACAAACTTGCCCCCACTTCCTCACCGCCTCGGCCGTATCTAGACCCGCAGCTAGTTCCTGATTGGCCCTCTGTTGTGTGGTGGCGTGGAATAACATAGCGCAGACCACGCTTCAAAATTCGGCATAAATCAAAAATATCTGCGACAATCTCACTGCAACACACTGCTGCGGGAGAATAACCAGCCCTTTGCTGCTATCCAACATGTCCCAAACACTTCAATTCATCTTATATCATAAGGCTCTATTATGCAGCGACACTGGAAGGTAAAACTCCCTTTCAACAGGAAGAAACCTCCAAGGCCAACTAGGGCTTTAAGGAGAAAAATAAAAGAAATAAAAAAACAACGTAGCGGCAATGATCCATAATTACTTTCTATGTAAGAAAATGGTTTTCATGTCAATCACACATCACATCTGTCATTGCTGACAAGAGACCCGCATATAAAATGAGTTGGACATACACAGACGTCATGTCAGACGCTTCTGTCCACACGTGTCTAAAGGAGCTGAGTTTCTTCTGGACAAGTGGAAGAAACTTTTTACTTTTCTTACAGAAGAAAGTCCTGATAATAGATGATGTTTTGCAGAATTGGGATTTTTTATTAAATGCACTATTTCTTATATCCACCAGGCTTCATGAGGACAAATCTTTGAGAATACATAAAAAAAAACAAAAAAAACAAACAGAGAAAACCCAGCAGAGAATGACATATTTAACACAGAAGGGATCATTTACTAATAGCTTTTAAATGGGAGGAAAATGCTTTCTTACATACTCTGATTACATTCATTCATGCCCCAAACATTTCTTGTTTATAGATACTGAACCCTAGCCTCGAGACCTTCCTGATCTCGCGAGCTTTCAAGGTTTCACTCGCTAATCAGTCTGGAGACTCTCCGTTAAAGAAAATTTGGAGCCGTTCACCAAACGAACGTCCAATCAGCGTTGGCTTTGAGGCGGGTTTAGGTGTGCCGCAACGAGAAGAGCGACAGTTCAGTCCAAAGAACAT